CCCCCCCCGACTCGAAGTCGGGGCTGTCAGACGGCGTGAGCAGGCTGTCGTACGACAGGCTGCCGTTGCGCGTCTGGTTCACCAGGCTCTTGTAGGAGGTGGAGGTGGTGCCCTCCGAGCGGATGGACTGGAGGTGGCCCATCTCAAAGCCCGTGCCCTGGGCCGACTTGAGGCGGGAGGAGCGGGAGCCGCTGGAGAGCGGGTCGAAGTGAAAGCTCTTGCCGAAGGTGGGCGAGCGGAAGCTCTCGGGCTCCAGGCTCGGCTCCGAGCGGTAGCTGGGCTTGCGGCTGCTCTCGCAGATGGAGTTGGGCTCCTTCAGGCTGTTCACTCGGCTCAGCTGAGGGGCAGAGACACAGCAGTCACCCGCAGAAAGAGGGGGTCCCTGCGAAGCTCCCGACACTCCCCCCAAACTCTCCCCCGACCAGGAACGTGGCGGTGTCCCCTCGAGGCTGGGTTCCCCCCTCGCCGGGCACGGCCTTACCTTGGCGCTGGTGGAGTGGGGCAAGGCTGCCGAGCTGCTGCTGCTGCTGTAGCCGGGCCGGTACTTGTACATGGTGGGAGTTGGGGGGCTGTCCTTGCCTAGCAAGCTGCTGTCTGCAGGCGGGGGAAGAGAGAAAGACGCTCAGACACGCGGCGGCTCCCGGGGGCTGTGCAGGGGAAGGAACGCTGTGCGGAGCCGTGCCCTCCCTTCCTGAGAACCGGCTCTGAGCCTGGGGCGGACAGACCAGGGAGGTGGAGGTGCAGAGAGGGATGGGCTCGAGGAGAGGCGCACCAGGGGTGGATGAAACGGAGCGGAATGGAAAACGTGTCCCCATGGCAATGCGTTTGGGGGGTGGCACTTCCATGCCCCTGCAGCGGCCCCGGCTGGGTGACACCCTGGGGTGGGCGGGGTGTGCACTGCATGGAGGCGTCAGTGGGTGCCCGGGCACTCCACAGACCTGCTGGCTGGTCACCCCACTGACGGACGTGCCGCAGCCCCTCTCCAGGCAGTCAGGCCAGGCAGTGCTGCGCCTGGCCGGGGGGACAGGGAGAACTGCAGAGGCCTCCGGCCCGCTGCGGGAAGCGGCTGCTTCCAAGGTCTGCCCTTCACATCCCACCTCTCTCGCCAAGCCCACGCAGGCAGCTCCGAGCACTGCTTCGCCGGCGCTCAGGGAAGCGGGGAAAGCGAGTCATGCAGGCTGCCACAAACGTGCTCTCTGCCGCCAAGCCAGGCCTGCCGCTCCTTCGCCTCCTTCATCCAGGCGACGCTCCTGCGCCTGCCTGCAGCACGGCAGCCTGCGAGCCTGCCCGTCGCAGGCCACCGCAGCTCACAGCGGCTCTGGACAAGCACCGCGCTGTCTCGGCTCAGCCTCCTGCTCCTCTCCGACGGAGCAGAGCTGGCTGTAAGCATCCCGCAGGCTTCTCCAAGTGCAAGGGGCCACATATACCAGCCCGGAAACGTGGGCATGTCCTGCCCCACAACGCGGTGGTGCTGATGTGCTTCGGGTCTGCCCTGCAGCCTGTTCCGCCTACGGCCCTGGCTCCTGGTCTGCCTGGTGCAGCCCTGGGCTCCCCTCCCAGCGGCTGCCTGGGACCCTGCATGCCTTCCTTACCCTCGTTGGTGGCCAGGGTTAAGTGTGTCCTCAGGCCCGTGTAGCGGCTGAGGTCTGGCTTAGGTGGGGGGGGCGGTTCAGCGTCAGCAGACTGGCTCTCCGTCACCTCCAGGCTTCCTTTGGACTGCAGAGACAAAGCGCAGAGGGAGGATCAGAGGGCTGCCAAGACCCCGGCCCTCCCCTCGGCAGGCAGGGAGCGGGCAGCGGCATTAAGGGGGCTCTCGCTGCCTCCCGGGCCATGCAACATACTGAGCGCTTGAAGGCGGCATGTGCCTCAGGTGCTGGGAAGTGCTGAGGAAGGGGGACCTCCAAAGGATGCTGCGAGGGGGAAGGACAGGACGGGGAAGGGCAATGGAGGGTGCAAAGCCTCATGTGGTCGCTGCCGCATGGGAGGGACATGGTTTCCGTCCCGTGGGGACACAGAACAAGACGACACGGAGGGAGATGGGGCACGTGACAAGGCTCACTCGGTTCTTTACTCACGGATGCAGGCTTGCACCCCTGGGCTCCACGGAGGGCCCCAACGCAGGGACCGCTAATCCCCACCTTCCTCACCTTTGTCCTCTTCAGCTCTGTCTGGATACCGTTGTCCATGATCTTGACAGTGATCTGACCGTCTGACACCTCGGGCCGCAAGAAGGGGGGTCTCACCAGCACCGTCTGCTCGGCCTTCGGGCGCCCGAGGTACCTAGGGAGAGGGGTGGGAGGAAGGTCAAGGCCTGGGGCTCGGGATGGGGCAGTTTGCCCGGGCGTTGCAGGGCTGGGGAGGGGGGGTGGGGGGCACCGCCGTGCTGTGCCAGGCTCACCTGGGGGCCGGGGAGCTGCAGAGGACCCGGCTGACGTTCTTACAGCAACCGTTGGTGAAGGGATTGACACCACCGCGGAACTTGCCCGTTACCTGCGGGATGAGGAGCATCGCAGCGTACTGGGGCGGGCAGGGACCTCGGGAGGTCTCTGGTCCAGCCAACCAGGTCAGGATGCTCGGGGTTTGTCCAGCTCACTCGTGACAATCTCCAAGGACAGAGATACTTGGAGATACTCCCCCTTTCCCAGGTCCCCGTTCCATTGTTGAACTACCCTCAAAGGGGAAAAGCCTTTCCCTAACGTCTGACTGCAAGTTGCCTCGTTTAAAGTTGTGCCCGTCGCCTCTTGCCCTCCCAAGAGCAGCCTGCCCGGCTCCATCCTCCCTGCAGCCACCCCTAACAGCAGCAGTAAAGATCCCCTGCCTCCAGGCTGCGCAGATGAGGTGCTCTCAGCCTCCCCTCACAGACATCTTGTGCTCTAGCCCCCAACCAGCTCAGCGGCCTTCCCTTGCCTCAACCCAGCCTGTCCATGTCTGTCTTGTCCCGGGGAGCCCCAAAACGCAACCAGATGTGGCCTGAGAGGGGCTAGCAGCCCTGCACCAGCCCCACAGGCATACCTGTTCGTTGGTAGTACGGCCCCTCGCCACGAGCACCACGTGGAACCCCGTAAGGCCAGCGACGGGAATGAAGAATAAGCCGGCCACGCACATCACCACCATACTGTCAGCAGATAGCTAAGGAAGAGCCACAGCACGCTGCCCCCAGCCCCACCAACGTCCTCCCCCCTCGGCCGCGCTCCTGCAGCCTCGCAGAGGATACGTGACCGCCATGCGGACGCCGGAGAGCTCCTCCACCTGGTAGAGGACGTAGAGCAGGCCGAAGCCAAACACCCCCATGATGTGCGTGGTGAGCGAGAGCAAGAAGAGGAAGAAGTAACGGTAGTTGCGCCGCCCGATGCAGTTGTTGACCCAGGGGCAGTGATGGTCAAACTCCTGTCGGTGGGGAGAAGACACAGTGAAGGGCTCGGCTGCCAGGGCTTCCTGCCTGCGCTATGCGTTAAACTCTACGTGGCAACGAAGAGGCATCGAGACCCGGCAGTTCCTCACCTCCACACAGTTGTCGCAGACGCTGCAGTGGGAGCAGCGCGGCGGCCGGTAGAAGCGGCAGGTCGCACACCATTTCATGCGGACCTGAATGCCCTTGATCTCCACTGTCTTGTAGAGCGGAGCTCGGAAGTCATCCTCCTTGTCCTCGTCCTCCTCAGCTGACGGGAAAACCCCAGCACGGCCACGCGTCAGGGCGTGGGGGAAGGCGACGCCACGGCTGCGCCGGCCTCCTGCCCTCCCGAACTGGAGATGCCCAGCATCGCCCTCCTCTGTCACCAGGCCCGTCTCACCTGGCGCAGGGACCAGCCAGGGACCCCCAAATACAGGTAGAGGAGGGGGGGGGCTCTCCCAGGCCCTGCCCCAAAACCACGACGCCTGCCTGAGCCCCAGGTACCCAATACGGGGTGCCAGGATTTACACCGCCTCCCCCACCTGGTCCCACAGGCTGGGTGCTGAACCCAGAGCTACCGTCCCCGTAGCGTGTGTCACCACCCGATCCCACCCGGGCAGGGCAAGGAGGGCTCTCCTCAAGCCTTTTAGGATCAGGTAATCCTTTTTACCTCAAAGGAAGGGTGGAAGGAGGTAGCTCTAGCTGAGACACTTCCCAAGCAGAGCCAGACTCACCTCGCGGGAATATGCCTGGGTCCATGAAGGTGGCCATGCTGAAGTTGGCCAGCACAAAGAGGAAGACGACGGCATTGTAGATTGGAATGACTGGGGAGATGTACAGGCTGAGCCCCGGGCACCTACAGGCACAAAAGCAGTGAGACACCCAGGCCCTGTCCCACGGGTCACTCCTGCAGTGCTTCCCGCTGCCCCTCGCATCGCCTCCCCGCTGGCCCCGCTCCCGCAGAGCCCCAGGCAGGTGTCACTGAGCTCCGACGATGCCCTCGGAGCGAGCGAGGGCCGAGCGGGCGCTAACCACCCCCTCCGAGCCCCACAGCCATCCCTGTAAGCCATTCTGGCCATGCTCGGTGGTGGCCTGGCCGGGAAGTCCATGTTCCCCGCTCTTGGGCGGTATTTCCAGGCTCCTGCCCAGGCAGGCAGCTGCGGAGGTTCCCTGCCATCAACTCTTACTTTCACTCTCACCCACTGCCCTCCGCACCTAAACTGGAGCTGCACCCAGGCCAGCTTGACCTAGGGCGTGTTCAGCCACCCTCCACAGACCAGCCTAGCCCCCAGCCCCGGGGGAGCACCCATGGGGGGCTGGTGTGGGAAGCGCTCCGGTAAATCATCAGAGAGCAAAAACGCCGCTCGCCTCTTGCGCCCACAGCCCCACGGGTGCTGCCAGCGCAGGACCTCGCTGCCACAGGGAGCGACTGCAGGCGGTGGCGAGAATGGGGTGAGCCAGGCCGACGGCACGGGGAGCACTCGGGAGGGATCCGGCCACAAGGCACCCGAGTGTCACCCTCCACGTGTCACGCCAGCGAGCACGGGGGGCAGAGGGGACCCCGCGAGGGGATGCAAAACCAGCAGCAGCTCCAGTGCCTCCAGAGCCGCTCCTGCTCCTCACATCCCGGAGCTGGAGCCCAGCCTAGAGACAACTCCAGTGGCACGTGGGGACCCCATCGCTGCGCCAGCCTGCCCGCAGGCCTGACTGAGGGGCCCCGGGGGAGCACAGCAAGGGAATCTCCACCGTCCCCCACGTCCCGGGAGGGCACGGGCTCAGGACAGCGGGCTTCCCCCTCAGAGGCGCCAGTGTAATACCCTAATCTGCTTTGCTGCTGGGAGTTTAATCCTGCAGATCTAGGACAGCATCTGTCCCTCTCTTCCCCCCGCAGCGATAAGCGCAGAAGGATTTAGGCAGTGGGAGCAGAGAGGGGCAGAGCGCAGGGCTCTGCGGGCAGGGCGACATATGGTGCCAGTGCTGTAATCCCCCACAGCCCCCAAGCAGGTAGAGGTGAAGGGGCAGGCACTGGTCCCGTCCCCTCCATCGCCACCACCCGCTGTGACTCAGCCAGGGGACGGGTCCCACCACTGGCAAGGCAGACCCCGTCCTTGTCACGGCAGCCCTGGGAGCCCCAGCGAGGCTCCAGCTGGGAACGAACCCTTGGTCTAGGGCTCTGACCCCAGTTCAGCCCAGTCCAGGGCTGGCAGGGCCCTGCGTGTGAGGGGACAGGGGACGGTGCCAGGCGGAGGGCTGCCTCCAGGCAAGTGGCGGGCAGGAGATAAGACAGGTCCGGGCTGGAGGAGCAGGCACACCTGCCTTGGCACCTACCTGGCAGTGGAGGAGGGAGAGGCAGGCAGGGCACACCCAGGCAGCGGGCACGGCTCCATGCCCCGGCCTTTCCCTGCGCCCAGAGAGGGTGGGAAGCAGCAGCGGGACCTGCCCTCCGCAGTCCCCGTCCAGGCACAGCGGACGAGGGCAAGAGAGGGCAAACCCTCTCGACTTTACAAGACACCCGGCTAGCAGGAGCGCGCCGGGAGCCAAGCCCTGCTCTGCCAACCATCACACTCCTCCTCCTCCTTTCCCGAAGCGGGGCCCAGCGCCTCCACCCTCAGCAGCACCTCCAGGCCCCGGCCCGGCCCACCAGACCAGAGCTGCACCTGCAAACTGTCTTCTCCAAAACCTCTTCCACGCCCCCTCCATGCCGCTCAGGAGCCCCCGAGCACCTCGCTGGGGTGGGAGCCTCGCCCTCCTGGGCACCTTGGGCGATGCCTCCCCACCTCCACGTATCTGGGACAGCATCTCCCGGCGTTTCACCAAGAGCTCTCCTCCGGGGCGGGGAGCGGCTCCTTCACAACCCGCACAGCACTGGCCGTGCCGGCTCTTCTTCCCGAGACAGCCGGCCCTGCCGTCTCCTTTGGAAGCCAGCCAGGTGGATCCTCCGCAGAGCAGGCAGCGCCAGTGCAGCTGGGATGGGCTGGCGAGGAGGAGACCTCTCCAATCTGCACCCCGAAACCCTCAGAGCGCAGCTCCGGGGAGGTACAGGACGTACGTGACATCGCGAGACCAAGACCTCAGCAAGGGAAGAGCACGCTAGCCGCGTCGAGCCCAGCACGACCGGCATCGCCGGGAGCTGCCACGGGACTGGAAGCCACGCCAGGAGCAAGGAGCTCACACCTAGCCCAGCCTCCCCTTCCCCTCCGACGGGCGGGCTGTGCCCGGGGAGAGGGCTTGTCCCACCCACCCCCAGCACCGAGCTGCTGCCGGGGCTGCCCCCGGCCACCCACCAGAACAGCACCAGCAAGAAATGTTCAAGTGGTTTAAGTGGTTTGCAGAAAACGAAGGCGAGAAAGTCTCTCAGTCTCGCAGAGGGGAAACTGGTATTTACAGCGGGGCAGGCTGGCAAGGCAGGGAGCCGGCAGGACGCTGGCAGCCCCCAGGTACTCGCCCAGGAGCCAAAGGAGAGCTGGGTAAGGGGCAAACCGCCCACTCCCCACAGCTTCCAGGGCCGGGGGCCTTGCTGGCGGTGTGGTTTCAAGGAGACGGGTGGCTTCACTAGCCCCCATCTCTCTTCATCGCCAGGGCTGCTCTCTGCCCTCGTGGCGTGGCAGCCCCTTTGGAGGGGTGTTTCTCTCCTCTCCTGCCCTGAGCACCGAACACAGACGGTGCCAAGGGGAAGGTGGCCACTCATAACGTCACTTCGCCCCAAGGAAGGGCAGAGCCGAGCACCCCAACTCAAGGGGAACCTCCCCAGCTCTGCTCCCTGCCAAGCTGCAGAGATAAGAGGGGCAGCGGAGAGACTGCCGGAGGCAGGGGGTCTCAGATGAGCCCTAAAGGTAGGAAAAGCCCTTCCAGAAACCCCAAGCAAGGAGCTCCTCTCTTCAAGAAGGCAAAGCCCAGCCCAAATCTTTGCTTGAAAGGGATGGAGGGGAGCCAGGGAGACCCACTGCATGCCAGCCATCCCTGCACAAGGGAAATGCCAACAGCAAGGCTGAGCCAAACATGCAGCCCAGATCCTCGAAAGACAGACCCTGGCAAGGCAGGGGAAAGACTGAGCTGCCTCAGTGAAGGCTGGCGCGGAGGAAAAGCTCTGGGGCAGGCAGAGAGAGAAGGACTGGCCTTCCAGGGGTAAGGGGATACCTCTCCCACCATCTCCCGCGCTGTCTGGGCACCGAGCCCTTCCCAGGAGGGAGAAGCAGAGCTCCCGGGAGGCAGGACAGCGGCCGGCAGGTCCCCAGCTGTGAGAACGACCAACCCTTTAGCTAAGGGAGCACCAGCAGACTCCAGACACCTTGGCACTGAGGAGGACACAGCCACAGCTTTAAAAGGGCGACCGATGATGCCAATGGATCAAACGGAGGAGACCTGCCTGGGGACATCGATCCCCTCCGTCAGTCCAGCTCTGCTCCGGGGGCCGCGTGTTCAGCTGCAGATGGAGCAGACGGCTCGCTGCAGCGCGCCCTCCAAACCCAGCCTCCATTTCGGGCGGCTGCGAACCCTAAGGCAGGAGCCTGATTACTCTGAGAGCCAACCTGCCAGCCAGACTCCACAGGTGGATGAAAGATTGAACTTCAGCCTTCAGAAAGGAGAACTGATCGGAGAAGCTGGTGTGGCGCCTCGGGGCCAGCTTACAACCTCTGCCCTTATCAGGTCTTGCCAGCCGCGTGCAACTGGACAGGCAAGCTGCCAGGGGCTGCTCTGCACGGAGCGAACTTTACACCCTGAACAACCGGCCAGGGATGCAAAGCCACCCCGGGCTGGGATTTCACGGGCCGGGGCAAGCAGAACACCCTCCCCAGGGCCCACGAGGACCCGCACCTTACGAGGGTAGCCTCAGGTTGCGCACTCCCGGGTCACAAGCACGATGCCGGGGGTCTCCTCCCCGGCGCTCCCAAGCACGGCAGCCCACTGCCTGCCGCCCTCCCAGCTCTCTCCACACCCAGGGACCCCACCACGCCACGGAGGGAAGCAGGAATCCTCGCGATACACAGACCATACGTTACTCGAACCAAACCGCCCGCCGGCATCCGTGCTCGCAGCCCCAAACACAGGGGAGTCGCCTCCTCGAGATCAACCCCACCCCCGGCGCTCCCAAGCACGGCAGCCCACTGCCTGCCGCCCTCCCAGCTCTCTCCACACCCAGGGACCCCACCACGCCACGGAGGGAAGCAGGAATCCTCGCGATACACAGACCATACGTTACTCGAACCAAACCGCCCGCCGGCATCCGTGCTCGCAGCCCCAAACACAGGGGAGTCACCTCCTCGAGATCAACCCCACCCTGCGGGAGGGAACATGGTCCTCTGCAGCCCAGGGAGCAAAGGTGGCTGCCGATCCCTGAGGGGAAACCTCGTTATCAGAAGCACCGACGTGTTCCTGCCTTTTGCTCTCCCAGACGGAGAGCACGGGGCCGCAGACCCTGCCTCGACACCGGGAGCAGCCAGGGAGCGTGGGCTCCGGCTCCGCAGGGGAGGAAGAGGGAGGCTGCTCGCCATCGTGGCCACGCAGGTCCTGGAGAACTCATCAAGTTCCCTCTCCAGGTTGGGATGCAAAGCACACCCATCGCTAGAAGAGCTGTCGAGACTTGTCTCTGGCAGCACATAAGAGAAACCAGGGAACCTCAGGCAAACTGAGTCACATCTGGATCCGAGACGGGCTTTTTGCCACTAGTCATAGCAGGAGAAGCCCATCGCTCCCCAGCCTGGCTTCTCCTCCCCTCCGCAGACTCAGAGCCACCCTGCGGCCCCTCGTCCCCTGCCCTCTCCCAGAAGAAGGACGCCTTCCCCACCCCGCCTGCACCCCTGGACTCCGACCCGCCGCCGAGCCAGCGCAGAGGGGCCGGCGCCGTGCCAGGGCCGCGCTCACCTCGCTGACCCGCACCGCGGCGGGAGGGCTGGACTCGCGGCCTCTCCAGCTCTCTCAAAGGCCTCGCTGCAAACGCAGCCCCTGCTCACCGCGACGGTCACACAGGTTGGGGTCCAACTAGGAGTGTGCGTGCCACCGTGTACCAGAGGCACCGCCGGCTCCAGGGACTGCCGCATCCTACCCCGGCATCCCCGTCCTCATGCCTCTCCTTTCTCTCTCTCCTCCGTCAGTGCTGGAAGAGGAGAGAGCTCCTTTCCCAAGGAGGTGCAGTTCCCTTGGAGCCTTCCCAGCCGCGAGGATGGGAGGAAAAGTGGGGGTCAGAGGTTTTACAGACAGATTCACCTAATTGCAAGAAACAGTTTATACTTTGCAGGCTTTTATACAGCCCCAAAAGCCACGCTGAGCTGCGGCCACGAGCAAGAGTTGAGGCAAACAGAGGGAAGAGGCCGACTGACGGCACGCCACCCAGAGAGCCCCTGCCAAGGGCAGTTGGGAGGCGCTCCCTGCCTCCAGAGGGGAAGGAGAGGCTGAGCACCGACCGCACGAGGAGCGGGGACCAGCATAGGCCAGGGAGGAGATGCAGGAACGGACAAACTGATCCCAAGGGGGAAGTTCGGTCCTAAAGCAGCACGTTTGAGACCCCAGCAAGTCAGAGACACCCCCCCCTCCTTCCAGAGGGAGGACGGGAACATCCCCCTCTTCCTGCTGCCCGCTCCCTCCAGCGCCATCGGCCTCAGCCGATTTCATCTGCCATGTCTTCTGCAGCATCTCCTAATTAAATTAATCAATTAAATAGAATTCTTGGCCCAGAGGTACAAATCCTGGGCCAGTGCGGATGGACCAAAAGGCGTCCGACGGATACACTAGAAATTACACGACTGGAGCCTTTCAAGAGAGCTGTGCCGAGCCCTGGGTGCTCTCTGCCCGGGAGGAGGCCCCGTGGGAGGTGTCCCAGAGCCCCCCCACACACACACCCCTCACAACTTCCATTTCACTTCCCAAAGTACGAGCTTTAGGTCCGATGCTGACAGCGTAACCCTCCCGAGCAGGTCTGCAGCAGGCACACCAGACGCAGCGAGTGCTGCGGAGGGGGGGCCCCGCTTCCGCGTCAGGCGGCGGCCGGTATCGAGCACAGCCAGGCAGCAGGCTCGCAGCCGCCTCGCCTGTCTTTCGCCGGGCAGGGAAGAGGGGCATAGCGATCCACAAGAAACCAACCCTACGGTTCTCGCGCAGGAGGCAAACCTCGCCGTGGTTCTGTACGTCCCTTCCACCCCGCCCCAGCAGCCGGGCAGGAACCGCCCCAGGAGAACTGTAACGCCATTCCCTCCCCGCCAAATAACCCGTGTGAAAGTGCGCTGCCCTTTGCCGCTCTGCTTGAGATTTAATTTGATGTTTTAAAGTAGGTTAAATAACATCCACTGACCTACAATTAAAGCGACCCTGCCCAGGTGTTCCTGTTCTGTACAAACCTGCTCCGCGGCACCGGTGCCTGCTCCCGGCGATGCCTCGCACCACGCCGCTCGCTGATAAGCGGCTGCTGCGATAGCTCACAGCCAGGTACCGCGGGCTTGGCCAGGGTTTGAGGGGGGTAGGGCTGCCCTGCTATTCCCCCCTCCAAAGTGCAGCGCGCAGCCCGCCGTGACAAAGCAGAGGCACTCCTGTCCCCCCAAGTCACGGTGTGTCGCGCACAGCTGCTCAGAGGACATCGCCCGCTCCCTCCTCTTCTCCTTCATCCCCCTGAAGCAGTAGCACAGGGCCAGCGACTTCCTGCAAGTGTTTGACAGCCCGAAGCAGCAAAACCTCCAGCCTCAGAGCTGCCAGCAACGCCGGCCTGATAAACGTTCAAGTGTCCCGGCGGGGGGACTGCTGCACGCTGCTGAGCGACACCGCCAGCTGCCTCCCGTCGCTGCGAGGAGTAAATCAAACCGGCTCTGTCCTTTAGTCGTCAAATTACTCTTTTATTGCCCGGTTGTTGCCAGGCGTTAAAGCCGTGGTGACCTTCCAGCCACTGATGGCTCCATCCCAGG